ACACACACACACTCTCTCTCTCACACACACACTCACAGTCACTCTCACACACACACACACACACACACACACACCATGGACTGATCCATGACCTTTAAAGTTCTTGATGTGATTCGTTTCCGTTTGATTGACGTTAAAACACGAATGAATCTCAAATAATTTATAAAGTCTGTAAAGTGTGAAGGTTAATCAGAAAACACGTGTGTGTCAGACGTGAGTCCGTTTGGTCCGACCGGACGCCACGAGTGTTTAGACAGACACTAAACATCCCACGTGTGACGCCGCAGTCCAGTGAACAGCTTCTGAACACATATTAAAAAAATACATGAAACACAAATCCATCCCGCCCTTCAACATCATGTGACCCACGTTAATCGAGTCTGACATCCTAGAATGTGCGTCTCAGGAAAGAGTGATGGATTGTAGTGACCTGTGCTGTAAGGACACCTCTGTGAAGGTCAAAGTGCGTGAGAAGATCCAGACGCTCAGGTGATGGACTGATCCAGATCTGAGCGATCGACGGCTGCTGACGAGCCTGTGAGCCACACACACCTTCAGTTCCTAAAAGTCCAATAAAATACATAAATATAACGCACACACACACTCACACTCACACTCACACTCACACTCACACACACACACACACACACACACACACACACACACACACTCTCTCTCTCACACACACACACACACACTCAGTCATACTCACACACACTCACACACTCTCTCACACACACACACAAACTCACTCTCTCTCACTCACACACACACACACACACTCAGTCATACACACACACTCACAGTCACACTCACACCATGGACTGATCCGTGACCTTTAAAGTTCTTGATGTGATTAGTTTCCGTTTGATTGACATTAAAACACGAATGAATCTCAAATAATTTATAAAGTCTGTAAAGTGTGAAGGTTAATCAGAAAACACTTCAGTCCGTTTGGTCCGACCGGACGCCACGAGTGTTTAGACGGACACTAAACGTCCCACGTGTGACGCCGCAGTCCAGTGAACAGCTTCTGAACACATATTAAAAAAATACATGAAACACAAATCCATCCCGCCCTTCAACATCATGTGACCCATGTTAATCGAGTCTGACATCCTAGAATGTGCGTCTCAGGAAAGAGTGATGGATTGTAGTGACCTGTGCTGTAAGGACACCTCTGTGAAGGTCAAAGTGCGTGAGAAGATCCAGACGCTCAGGTGATGGACTGATCCAGATCTGAGCGATCGACGGCTGCTGACGAGCCTGTGAGCCACACACACCTTCAGTTCCTAAAAGTCCAATAAAATACATAAATATAACGTAAATAAAATACATATTTTATATATGGGTCAAGTGAATCAAAAGAAATGTACAAAAGTGATTATATGTTCATAGAAAGCACATTAAATGCGGGTAAAGTGTCTACTTTTAAAGTTTCAAATAAGTTTTTGGAGAATAAAATGTCAAAATTTGGTTGAAATAATGTTACATTGTCATTCAGTGTAACACAATATTTATGTAAAAATTCAAACAACATGCTTATTCTGACGTGTACATATTAAAATATATAAAAGAATAAGAGAGCATATTAAATTTGATTGCGTTTTAAATGAGTAAAAAATTCTTACTGACAAATGGGTCAAACCTAGGATAGTGGCACATTTTAAAAATCTTAAATTACAACTAATTTGTATGTGGGGTGAAAGTAATTAGTCTTTTAATATGTCATAAGCCCGACCAATGTATCGTTTTGCCGATATTATCGGCCGATATGAGCCTGTCGCCGATATATCGGTATTAGCGAATATGCCGCTGATATGCCGCCGATATGAAATTTTTTTTACAGAACATATAATGCAGATAAAATGCTTGAAATGGTGTAATTACTTAGTTAGCTCCATTGCTACTGGCGACCTGGATGAAACGCTTTAAAGCTTAAGTCTATGGAAAACCATTGAAACTTTGAACTGCCATATCTCTGTAACGGTGCGGCGAATCTCCACCAAATTCAGGGGATCCCTTCAGCTCGAGGAACCCTCTCGAACGCGAATCGAGTGTACGTCTAGAGGCCCGCTTTCGATTGAGACCACCCCGGCGTCGATACCCCCCGGGGTTCGGGAGTTACGGGTGGTTAAATTTGCGGTCCGGCGCCGAACAATCAAGCGATCCCGGGGGGCTACCGACGTGGGGGTGGTCTCAATCGAAAGCGGGCCTCTAGACGTACACTCGATTCGCGTTCGAGAGGGTTCCTCGAGCTGAAGGGATCCCCTGAATTTGGTGGAGATCCACCGGCGCGTTTGCGAGGTAGTGACACCAGTCAACACTTTTCCTTCAGTAGGAGGTCTCTTGTTCAGGCCGTAAGTGCACTGCGAAGTGGACTTCACATGAAATTCC